CAACAAGCAGCACATGAATGCAACACCAGATGACTGAAAACTCAAGTGATGCTATTGGAAGAGCTCTGATTCAATAAACGTCAACCATCTGCTCCAACCAAATACAAACAAAGCTACTGATCATTTTAAGGTCAGATCTTTCTTGTGTGATGTTGTGAGATACTGATGAGAGATAAATGGACAGTATCCTTAACCCTCAGAGTCTATTTCAGGTCAAAAACCTGGCTGCTTGTTCCATGACCAAAGATTAAAATTGCACTTCAGATTTATCCTATACCTGCTTACTCTGGGGGTCTCGGCAGGATCGCTGGAATCAATCCCAGCTGACAATGGATGAGGGGCAGGTTCCTGAACAGGCTGCCACTCTACCACAGGAGACCATTCATGCTGACATTCACATCTTAAGTTGCTAGTTAACCTAACCTAACTGTGTCTTTGGACAGTGGGGGGAAACCCACACAGGCACCAGGAGAGGATTTACACCACACAGTGGTTCTGGGTTCCACACAGCTCGAACCAGAGGTACCAGAGTGGCACCAGTGCCAACACTGCACCACCATGCTGCCCTACCATGCTGCCCTTTTCAGATTCAGCACTTTAAAACACTGACTCATTTGCCCTTTCAGCTGTTTGTAAAGGAATAACTATGTCTAAGACAAATTACTGTGCACAGGATCTCTGCTATGAACAGGTGATGTTTTAAATGGTGCCTTGGGATTATACCAAACAATAATGGTTTTACTTTTCTTCACAGATGTTTCATTTAGCATGGAGGTGATTTTATACATCCCCAGCCGGCATCAGGAAACACCTACAGACCCAGGACTGAGACTGTGTGCACAACATTCAAACCCAGTGTGCTAGCTATTTTGTGAAATTACAGACATGTGCACTCCCACAGAGAGCTCCTGACCCAGTATAATCTGTCACACACTGGTATCATTGTATTGTCAGTTGGCCTAAACAAAACAAACAAAAAACTCCCTGTGTAATTAGTAATGCTCATGGCTGGAGCCCACTAATGTGTCCAATTCTAGTGCTATGATACTGTGGATGCTGGCTCACAGACATTCATGTCATTATTTACACCTGTACTTCCTGTTACTTCCTGTTATGAGAAGTAAAATGTTGGCAATGAAAACATCTATAGGTTGGTTTTAATGCTGAGGTAAAATGTAAATGATATAAAAACATGCAAGAATAAAATGAGCTAGGCAGAGAGGACTTATAGTATGATTAAAATAAGAAGGTATAAAATGATTCTTCTCAGTCTTCAGAGGAGGAGAAGGGGCAACAAACATTACAAGCCAAGAGGTGCCGTAAGTAGCGTGTTGGAGAAATGATACAGTCAATACGATCATGTGATCAGAGGACGAGGTTTAAAATAAATTATGGCGTCCATCTACAGTTTCATCTCAGTTCATGTAAGAAAAGAGCAAGTGTCCATTTTCTGAATGGGTTGTCTAGCGGTAACCCTACACTCTCAGCTGCACCAGCATGTAAAAGGTAAGAAAAGTCACTTTTTCACAATGAATGTCGAGCGATTTGACTCAATGATATTGCTGTTGTTGAGAAGTAGCAGAGGTATACAAACATAAAAACAGACACTTGCTTATGTTGTTTTGACAGTTTACAGATGTCACTGGTGCATTGTCTGTACTGTTAATCTCTAAATGTGTCCCTTATCTTTACCGCAAAGCACATTAACATTCTGCACATCTGCCCCTGAGGATTTTCACATCCTCCTGTTCTCTATCTGCATTCAATTAGAGATCTGGGTGAACTGAACACACCCGTCACATCTAGCTGATGATTATCAGAAAGTAAACCTCTCTCTTCAGCACGCGCCTTCTCTTATCTGCTTGAAAGATTAAAACTGATGAGAAACATGAGCCTCCCCTTCTCCAACACAGATGACCACACAGCTCAGGACTAAAACACTTTAAGTCAGCTGGATTCACAAGGGCTAGGACGGAGGGGGAAACTCTGGTCAAATGGAGATTAATAAACATATTAATACATCCTTATTTATTTGTCAAACATCACTGAAAACAGGTTAAGAAAGATTAGCTTTATTTCAATAGCTACTGAGCTGCTGATGTCACCTGGTTTTGGCTAAAAAAGAAAAAGCTTTACACACTCAGCCTCTTGGTTGTTTATGCTGCAGTCTAAATTGTTACTACCTTAAATGTGAAGGAACACCGGCTGGACTGGTTTACAGCACCAAACAAGAAGAGGACTCTGTGGTTCCTGAACAACACAGACACGTGTTTTCTGATAATAAACCGAAGAAACATAAGTCAGAGGAAGAGGCTGTAAGTCAGGACAAGAAGAACTGATTTGCAGGCTTGACAAACAATAGTTTCATTACAGTTTCATTTTGACGGCATTGTTAGCATGTTTCATTTGACAGATATGATCCTGCCCGAGTTGGTCGGAAGCCCAGGCATCCTGTTTTTTCAGTGCCTCTGTTTTTGTGTGTGCGAGCTCAGCTTTATGGAGCAAATGCTGTTTTGTGTGCATGGAGGATCTCTCACTGAGATGACGTCAGCAGTCGCTGAATGAATTTTTCAGTTTGTGAAAGAGGAAAATATTGTAGTGTGCTGCCTGCCAACTCTGCAACACAGCCACCAAAGAGCACAAGGAGAGCTTGAAAGAAAGGCGAGAAAAACAGCGAGTCTTCACCACAGTGACAGCAGTGAAGCACCAGTGTGTCAGAATTATGAACAGGTGGCTTGATGTAAAGCAGAAGAGCAGAGGATAAACCCTAAATAGACTTCAGGCTAAGAGCTGCATTTCCTCTCACACAACAGATGGTGTTGGTCGAGCGCTGGACAATTTACAAATTACACCACTGGATGTTTGTATCTCTCCGGTTTTCATACAATCCAGAACAACAGCCCTTGGTGAAATTTTGGGAAATGATGAATTCAGTGTTCATTATTGAAGCCGTAGTTGGTGTTGTGACTATGTTATATTCAGGTGGCTCCTTATATATAAACAAGGGGTTCAGGATATTCAGAATTTTAGGTGATTATTTTATTTCTGCTCTGGAGTCAACAGCAGTTCTGTCTTGTCCTCACGGATAATCGAGCATTACTCCCTGCTTTTGATGAATATATCTACTTATTAATTTCTCCTCATGGGAATATGTTGACTCTTATTTTAAAGTCTATAAATGTGGTTCTTTCTATGTTTCCTGACTGTTTGTACTGTAAATAAATTTCACGACGTCCATGGTTGTTTTTGTCCTTGCACTCGGCGGTGGGGCTCTCGATATTTGTAGGACTTAAACGGCCACAGTCGCTGGTCTGTCCTCATCAGACGCACCTTGTAAGACTTACAGGGATTTAATGTGATGTTCATATCGGTCATGGCAGTTGAGTGCAGAAGAGCATCTAAATGTTCTGTCAATCAGTGAAACTTCTTTAACCAACATTCAGGACAAAAACATAACTACAATCTTTTTGTCCTGAATTAAAGTTAAAGAAGAAAAATGAATAAAGAGCCGCATGAAGTGAAGAGATGAGCAAATGGAAGAATGAATGAACAAACGACACACGTACTCTAACGACACCAGTGGGTAGAGGTGAGCTGCTCATTTCATCTGTTTGGCTTCATGCTATCTGAGGCTGAACTTTCCTGTTGAAAGCAATCATCTAGAAAACAGGATGTGTCACAGGACACCTGAGATGGTGAGCAGAGGGAAGGTAAACAGCAGAGTGAGAGCTCACTGCTACTTGATCGCTCTGAGTCTGACAGGCTGCATCATATCGACTTATGGCTTCAGCACTTCAGCCAGTTCCGGGACAATCGCACTAGGTGGTTGCATAAAAGTCTGACGAGAGTTACTCCATTGCAGGATGTGTTTGACATGCATAATATTAGGCACCGGATAAGATAGCTGGGAATGCTCCAAGGATCCATGTATTGATATTCTTTGTCTGCTGAGTTTCAGGGTCCTTTTCAACAACAGATTCTTGGTGTCGCTGTTGAAATGGGTGCAACTTCACAATTCTCAGCTCTTTCTTTCAAATACGTTGAAAGGTTTAGTTTAATTTTATGTGAGCTATCTATTATATATACTATATATACACATACATATATGGGTAATGTTTTATGTACATTTATGTACATTTATTGTACTGTTCACACTGTAAATAGCGCACTGAGTAGCGCACTGAGACGGCCAGATAAACTTTCCTTTCCTCAGCCAAAGCCAGCCACTGACTGTTGATCTGTAGACCACGCCTAAGTTTCTGCTGGATGTCTCGCCTTCAAATGGCCGTGCATAGTTGTTGGCGATTTATGATATGGTAATTTAACCTGGCAGAGTTTGCACTGCACCTCATTTTCATTTATTTTCTCAGAGTTCCACACAACTTTTTGATGGCTCCAGTCTCTTCAGGCTTCTGCTGTTTGTATTTGGCGCTGTAGTTGAATGATATACTGACCTTGTTATTGTATTATTTCTTGTGGACTGGTATTTCGTCCCTCCAGCAGAATTCTACACACACTTGAGAACTGAAGCTGTAGTAGAAGCTCAGGGTGGAGCAACCTAATCTGACTGTGACACTTTATACTGGATTCTCTTTTAATTTATTACCCATCTCCTGTATTTATAAAAATGTTACAGCCACAGGTATTACCAAGATTTAAAAAATGCAAACACAGTGAATACTTTTAAAAATTAAAGAATTAAAGAAACTGAGACTGCAGTTTACATAGTTTTCATACTTGACATTAAGCCTTGATGAAAATGAAAGATTTTGGGTTAGGGTAGATGTCCAACCAACCAACCAACCAACCAACCAGTAACTGTAGAAAGCTGCTCAGGTCATGTGCAGTGTAACCGTCTGATTTTAACAACAAAAAACCGCTTTACAAAACTTTCTCAAAGATGTACCGTGTGTTTTGATGTGTTGAGCACTTTGTAGTGACAGGAAGCGTTCAATCACAAGCACAGTGAATATTTTCCATAAGAGCTGATTAACTCTCACCTCTCACTGACAAGCTCCTCCATCACCAGCATCTGGCCTGCAGCGCTGACATTCATGTGACCATAAATGCAGAGAGTCCCTGCAGACAGAGGATCACAATTATCAAATTGCTATAATCATTTATATTATTATAGGCTGAACTTTTAATTACAAATTTAAAACAACTCATGCCATTAATTAATGAGCAGATTGCATTAACATAAATATATTCAACAGCATCAGAATTATGCAACAATTTCCTGTCACATTAGTTTGCTGCCAGTGACCAGCACTGCATGCGCTGCAGCAGCTTTATTCTGGATTCAGTAGGGGTTAGACTAACTTCAAACTTACTCAGCCATATTTTTAGGCCTACAAACATCTTAACATCATTTTTAACAAAATAATTTTACCACCAAATGTGAGAAAAACCAAGGCTTAAATGAGCATCACTTGTAACTCCATACTGATTAAAAGAATACAGGAAGTTTTCTGTGTCGTTTTAAAACTCACTTTGGCTTTGAGTTAAATTTGCTTTAAATTGCAATTCAAGTATTAAGTATATTTAAGATTTATTATATCTACACAATAAGAATAAGCAATGCACTGTCACGCAGTGTAACTGCACACAGAGATATATTTCTATTCACAGTTCATTTCCCTTGTGCATAATTCAACAAAATTAGTGATGGAATGAGGTTTGGGTGTTGAATGAGTGTTAATTTCTACAGTCCTCCAGGCCCAATGCAGAGAGGATGGACAGTGAAGGTCGGCCTGACAGAGATCAGGGAGAGACTGAGGGGGGTCATGACCGGCAGCTTCAACCCCTGAATAATAAAACCCGCTATGCTTCACTGTCAGAACCAGTTCATCATGTAGACTCTTAAAGCTGACATGTCCCCATACTATCTACATTATAGATGGAGACAAGATGGGAAAGTTCAAAGCCTTAGACGACTATTCTTTTTTTTTTTTTTTGCAGCATGAATACATTATTTCATGATTTGATTTCATTTGATTTGATTTATTCTTTCAAGCATGTAAAGACAGTTGATATGTCAACACACATAATTTTACACATATCCAACAAATGCTAATCCAATATCAATTTGCTTATACCTAGTACATGCTTGAATGGAGTAGGAAGAAATCAGACTTATCCAGTCCTACCCCATGACATCATCTTACATCATTGGTTTGCAAGCAGTATCTCTACATAAATAATTCTCTTCTACACCACACAAGTAATATACTAAAAAAATAT